TATGAAAGCATTATAATGTTTACTGATAATCTGACAAATTTTGTTAACATACGCTTACTCATTTAAAAGTTATAGCATGAAAACTATAACAAGCACAAAATGGCTACGAGATTGGTCCCAGGAACTGAGCCCATGCTGAAAAGAGTTAAATGGCGTACAAGTCTAATCGAGAATGACATTAAAATTAAAACTGTGTGAAAAAAAATACATAAACTTTTATCACATTTGAGCAGAATTATTTTTTGTAAATTTTTGTTGGAGAAAATTCTCAAATAGAATGTTAATCACATGTTATTAGAATGACTTGCATATGCTAACAGGTAGTGTATCTGCAGGTGTTAGGCCATTGTGCCATAAACAACATGCTTAGCATATATACAGTTGGCTTAGGATGAATTTGTGAACATTCAGTGTTTAATGCCAACACAAATAGACTTATTATTGAAAGAATAAATTATGTAGAGCCAAAGAACAAAAAATCTTAATGAAATCAGTTGTCAGTGTTATTCATGGAAACAAATAAATCTGCCCAGCAAATCATTTAGCACAGCAGCAGGCTTTGAAACTGCAACCCAAGACAATCTGGAGCAACATCTTCATCCAAAATATGAAGGCTGTGGTTTTGAAAGAGGACCCCCTGACCAAAAAAAAAGGCTATTATGATGAGGTTTTTAAATTAATGAAGGCCCAGAAGATTCAACTCACACCTCAAATTGAATGTCTGTTTTAATCAGGATATTAACCAAGGTTTGAAAGCTACCTCTCAATTTTTTTTTAAAGAAATGAAGTACTAAGAATGCCACAGACATGAACCTTTTAAGGAGGGGGGGGGGGGGTCTGAAGACATGTCCCTTTCCAGGAAAATTAAAAAAATTAGTAGCTTTTACATCCATTTCTTATTAACTTCTTCCATATGCTCAGTAAGTGAAATAAGAAAAATCAAGAATTTTTTATTTGTAGATCTTTATTTCAGTTGAACATCATTATATTATGTTTTAGTTTTTAAAAAAAGGATTAGGCATTGTTAAACAGGAATTTTGAATTTGATATGTCCATACCTTATTCTGATGCCTCAAATCATTATTTATTGAATATTATTTTTAAATTTACTATATTCAAACAATGTACTCTAATAAATTAGATTGTTATCAAGCCTGACATAAGTAATGCTGACATCATTTTAAAAGGTTAAGTCCAGGGTCACCATTAAATCTTTGTCATTTTTTACCACCTTATAGCCAGAAGTGGTTAATATTGTGATTGGCAAAATAAAGTATCAAGTGAAATATGTTAATAAATATCACTCTAGTTGAAACTGACTGAATATATAGTGGAACTTTCTAACCAACAATAAAAAAAAAATTTATCACAAAAAAAAGATTTTGAAGTTCCACACTCTAAACATTTATAGAAATACTGAATCAAGTTATATGAATTTTTTAAGGCAAAACTTTAAATTTGTCTGAAGTTTTATGTAGCTTGTTTAAGTATCACCACCGTGAAAAGAAAAAATCAGAAAATATCATTAGATCTCCCCCAGATCAGGTTAAACCTTTTTTTTTTGAAAAATTATCATTCTCAATTGTTCTGGAAATGAAGACAGATTTCAGTTTAACTCTGAAATTGTTATTCGACTTGCTTGTGGTCAGAATGCTGATTAATACCATCAACACTAAAGCACCTACATCAATGCTTGTGCATAATATGAGGGAATTACAGAAGGAATCAAATACTTTATTAAGAGGTAAAGGACAAAGATATTTTTTTCTCTTCTGTGTTATAGGCAAACATATTTTTGAGGTACTGAAATTAATTTCATATTTTCGCCCATCTTGCAATCCATCTTTTAACGTTCTTCTTCATCTTAATAGATAATTGCCCATTCAGAAGATAGGTGAAGGGGATAGCTGGCTGAAAGCCTGAATTTAATTTTAAAGATAACCAAAGAAACTGTAATTGGTCAATTTCATTCACTTATATGCCTGTCTAGTACCCCAGTGCAGGTCCAATGAAGTTTTCTATCTGTAGTTTTCATAAATTGGTCTTAAAAGCCAACATCCACATACATTGGAGGGTCTGTGCAACGTTTGTCAAAATGTTTGGTCTAAGATTAAGTTTTTTTACAAAATAAACTGTAATGTCAACAAATATTAACATGATCAACAACTGGAGAGTAGTTCCAAGGACAGTGCACTTTATAGCATTGTTTTTATGAAGTGTCATTAACCCTTACCACAACACTTGGGATGGAATAACAAATTCAGTTTATTTAAAGTGTCATAATTTTTTTTCTCTGAATATTTTGGGGTTTATTGCCAAAGACATAAATAACAATTCTATTCCAATAGATATATACATATATCAACAATAATGTTAGTTGTACTCGTAAAAGTGTTTATTTGTTCTGTTTATTAAATATATCTGGCTTGGCTGATAAAAGTACTTGAAGAGTATTCAAAAGTTTATAAATTCTTGGCATAGTATGATGATATGATCTTGCTGTGATTTATGGTTACAGACATAACTTTTCTGTTGGTAAATACACAAGCCATCTTCTTCCATAGCATGTTATAAATTATGAATGCTATAAAATTTATTTTGTGGTGAAAAATATTGATATCTAGATCAAGAGTAGGTATCCAACTAAACCTTACTGAATGGCTCTGATCCATATTTCAAAGAGACCTCATACTTAACTGGAAAATTAGAAAGAAATCTTTACTAAGATATACTTAAATTACAACAAAGAAGAAAGTTATTCATAATTTAACCTTTTTAGATGTAGGGAAAATTATCAAAACATTTGAAACTCAAAATTCTACTCATTGAAGCCAAAAGAAGAGTATTCTTAAAGAGATGAGTTATATTAAACTTGTATTTATTTTTTGTTAAATGAGTTTTATAATTGTATATTTGATTTTAGAACACATATGGATTATAACTGACACATAAGAAATACTGTATACGACCATTTTTAGATATTCTTGTTTTAATTTTTAGGCCTGATGGGAAAAAGTTGAGATCCAGAATAGAACTTCGTTCATATTTATCAAAGTATAATATTGATATTGATATAGAGAATCTGTTTACACTTACTGGAAAAACTTCAAAAGTTCTAGCCAAATCTGTTACAAAACGTAAAAGTAGTTCTCAGAAGTGGAGCTCTTCCCCCAAGAAAAAGAAGTCCAGAAGCTCTAGTGTAAGTAGTGCACGGAAGAAGACACCAAAACTTCGTGTGAAACTGACCTCTCTCAAAAAGCGAATCCTTTCAAACTATGTTCAACAGGAGTCCAAAAAAGAAGTTTCTGAACAAAACTTATCAATAAAAGGACAATCTAATGACTCTCCTCAGAAAAAGCTAGCTGCTAAAAAAGCGACACATTCACCAAAGGTTGGCCAAACTGGACACAAATTGAAAAAAAGTAATGAAAAAAAGTCTAAACTTAAAACAAATAAGTCCAAAGGTAAGAAAAAGTAACACTTTTTCTTGTCATTCAAGTTGTATGTTACACAATCATACCTGAATACAATATTCGCTTTTTTTCCCCTTTACATCCCAAGATATGTTTTGTTGTTGCCAAAAAATTTTTCTTTATTGTATCAGAAAATGAAAAACAATAGCTGATAAAGTGTGACCAATTGTTTCTTTTTAAAACAAGAATAACAGTTTTCCTTTGGATAAAAAAACAATTTTAAATGCATTAATGTATCTACACTTATGTCTTTAAAATCTGTTAGTTCTTAAAGTTACTTATCAGTTATAACTAGATTCATCACAGCCATTATTTTGCTTGGGTCTGAATAATGTAGCATAAGCTAGTGCGTGATATTTCTATTATTATTTTTACAATGTTTTCTATTATTCTCTGACTTAGAGATATTTGCGTTAGTCTAATTAAAGTCCCATGAAATCATAAGTGTGCACATAATCCGTTTCTTAAGACATAGATTGACCTGCATATGGGATTCAAGTCACAAAGCAAATTGTATGCAGAGAAAAATTTTTCACACATTTTTTATAGATTAAAATGTGCAAGTGTTACCCAATTCTATCAGTGAAGAGGATAAATTATATCCATTCCATTACTGCTACAGCAATTGTTTTGTCACCTATCCAAATTCCAGATCTTAGATTGCAATCACATAGGATCTTTGTATACTAGGTATAAGAGCTTTAAAAAATATATAGCTGAAATGTTCCTTGCTTCGTTTTAAGTAAAAACACCTACTATTAACAAAAATCATGCCTTAGTGACCTATTTTGTTATTGATGTATATTGAGTGTAAATGTTAATGTCTTTCAGAAAGCTCTATAAAGATTGAGATTATCAGGCTTACATATGAAAATATCTGCAAATTTGAACGTGATTTGAAACCTATTTTTATCTGTTGGCCTAGATAATAAAAAAAAATTGTTCTACCTTATGTTGGATTTATTCCATTGTAGTTTGAGATAGATAATTTCTGAAAACCTGAACAGTACAGATACAAGTAGTCAACTTTGATAACAATAATAAAAAATTCTAACCATTACTTTAACTTTTAATATGAGCATAAAGAAATGGTAGAATACTGGAATATTTTTGTCTTTATTGAACCAATCCCTGTTTTGGTTTTTGCTCTCACAAATATATGCAGCTGATATTTTTTGCCATTTCATTTGTCATTAATGTTGGTTTTTGTAGGTAGTAAAGAAATGATTGTTCTATTCTTGTTCATCAATGGCTTGCAGTGTGTATACTTTTTATTTATTTTTTTATTTCTTTGCAGTGTTAAATCTACTTATTAAAATGGTAAATAATACTTGAACTATAAACTTTGAGCCTTATTCTGACAGATATAAAGTGTCAATATCTTGAATACAGAATGTTTGTATTCAAAGAAGACCATTTGTCATTTCTCTGTTTCCAGTATAAAACAATGATTGTTGAATTGGTAAAACATCTCACATTCAAGCAGGTCAACTATGGTGCTGTTGCTGATGTTACTTTTCTCTTTTTTTGTGCCTGTACTGAAAACAGACAATTGCATAACAATATTTTGTTGTATTTAAGTAACCTGAGGTTAAATTAAGGAGCTTCCAAATTAAAAGAAATCATTTTAATAGCATTTTAAGAACTTCTGTCTTGTTGATTGATTCTTCTTACCAACAACAAAGTATGCTTTATCTAAAGCTTCACAACATTTTGGACATGTTTTAATTTCACATCAGTCTTGGGTCTAGGGTAGGAGCTGCATTGAATCTTTATTACCCAGTTTCATGCTTGATGTCAGAAAATTAAGCTTTCTAACTCTGACAAAGTTTTTCATCATTAATTGAAATATTGTGAAATACTTTTTTTATTGTCTTGTGGTTAGCGTGGTGGACTTTGAATCTGAGGTCCATGTTTCAGATCCTGTTGCAGCAGAATTATGCTCTGCATTTTGCATGCATATGGAGCATTTTAAGGGTACTGTCAAATGTCACTATTCAATTAGAGTAGCCCAAAAGTTGGCACAGAGTTCCGTTGACTAGATGCCTTCCCTCTAATCTATCAGTTAAAAATTAGGGACAGCAAGTGCAGGTAGCTATAGTGTAGCTTTGCATGAATAACCAAAATGAACAATTATTATTTTGAGGGGAAAAAATCTAAAAATGTAAAATTTAGAGAAACCAGTAAGAATTCTCAATTTTAAATATTTAAAAGTCTTTATGCAAAAATAAAAAATACCATCACTGAATGCTGGCACAGGGCCAAAGTAGTTTTTTTTATGCATTGAAGTCTTGTTTTTCTTTTAACTATATTAGTTTTGTTTTGTTTAATTTTTAACAGAATTTTAATTTGTAATAGAAAATGAATTTATGTAGTGTTTTAGTTTAAGGTTTTGTTTTTGCATATTGACTATTGAATGTGTATCAGGTGTAATATGTAGTTTCATACAGTACATCAGATTTACTGTTGAAACTAGAATTAGTAATTTCTAAGTTGTGGTAGATTAGAAGCCTAGTTGCAATACAGACCTTAAGTTTAGTATTTGATATCTTAAATCTTGGGTGTTGCTTTGAACAGTTTCCTTTTCAGAGTCAGATGAACATTTCAGATGAGATTACCTTAATGGCACAAATACTGAACCAGATATCTGTTCAGAAATTGTGTGTTACAATATCACTGGGATATTATTTACTAGTAATACTGTTCATGTAACTGTATATTAATGTCTTACTGGTTTTTCTTCTTTTATATATATATATATATATATATATATATATATATAGACACTGGCATCTGAGGTTTATTAAAGTATTATATTTACTGTTGTGTAACAAATTATATAAAACACACTGATAATTATAACCTTAATTACTTTTAATTGTTGCCATTGTTGTGATTATTGTAAAGAAGCCAGTTAGTTAAAATTTGTAAAATTACCTTGTAAACTAGTTTACAAATATGGTCTTGTCTCTGTCCTGATAACCAGTTCTGGCTTAAATCACCCTCACAAGAAGCTGTTAAATATTTTATGAACAGTAAATTTTCATAAGATTAAGAATTGTAATTCAAAGCTAAAACTTTGAAGAAATTTGTTGCAAAATGTTTAAGAAAATCTTTTGAAAAGGCTCTGTGTGGAACAAGTGATTTGTATCTGAAATAGATACTTTTCATAATGTGCTTATTTTACATTTTGACAACTGCTTGCTTTAGTATTATTTGATGTTGGTAGTAAGTAGATAATATCTGGTCAGCAGTTTAGGATATTAATCAAGTTGTGAAGGTTACAATATATTATGTCATGTGATAAATAGATTTTGTTTGTTGTTTAATAATTTGACTTCTGGTGTGTCACCTGTAAGGGATTTGTTTTTAGATTTTCCAAGTAACATGAAATTTATGTAGTTTTATATTGCGTATAGTGATTCATTTTATTAGTATTTGGGTTGTTTACTTTTGTGTAAATGTTTTAACTGTGTCTTCAAGGGTTTTGTGTTTAATATCCATATGACACCATGTAATTATTATGCATGTGTTCCAGTGACTATTATATTACATCTGTAAACAAAAGTGGGATTTGGACTTTTATGGCAGGAAGTATAATAAAACCATGGCATTGAATAAAAGTGTAAAAAAAAAAGTTGCTGAAAATATCTTTAAACATTTTCGTATGGGAAATGCTAGTAGTGGAATTTGTTTATTGTGTCTAGAAATATTTAATTTACTTTAAAAGAAATATGTTTGTATCATTGGTTCTAATGGAGAAGTTACATTCTAAATAAACATTTCATGAATGTTAGTAAGGTATGATACATTAATACATGCTACAACTTTAGCTTATGTTAAAAAAGTGAGAAGAAAAGTGTACATTGTGCTTAAGAATTAGATGTGTCTTGTTAGTTTTTGTATATGTAATGTTTTAAATTGAATTTTCTGCTTTTCAGTCTATCTATAAGAAGGATATTTTTACTTAACTTTTTTGTCCAGTTAATTCTTGTTAAGAATGAAATGTTTGAAGTTTACTAAGAAAATCATGTTAAAACATATTTGAAATATGCAATATAAAATTTTCTATTAAAGTTGAAATTCTTCACAACTGTGGGTAAAATATCAAAACATTACATTTAACAAAATATTGTATGCAATTAATGACATGAAACTTTTCATCCAGACCACATCCAGTTGCACATGTGCTATTCTAGCTATACTCCAATGTTGCTATAAAACTGTTGGTTACAAAAGTAGGGTATTTCTTAATAGGTTGCATGTTTATTATATGATAAAAAGAACTGTTTGTTTAGTATTTTGATGTAAATATGGAGATTGCTGCACATAAAGTAAATTGTGGGTTGAGAATTATTAATATTTTTTTTCAGCAAGTTTCAATACTGTTGTAATGTTCAATAGTTTTAGATGGTCGTTAAATTTTAACATTTTCCTCTATAAACCAAAAGTTTCAAATTTTTTCAATGAAAATTCTGATAGTAAAAAATTATTCAATTTTGTTCAAAGAATGCCAGCATTTTAAATCTTCAAATGACACTAAGAAATGAGTCCTTACTCAATATTGTTACATCTACAGAACACGCTTATCATTGGAGTAATGAAACTTTCTGTAAATAACGACTAGTAATTGTGCATACACTAGGGTTAATAGGCTGTAGCGGTATTTTATTTTTATTACTCTTCTGTTTTATAAATGTACTTGATGTATAGAGCAAATCTTCTACATTACCCATATTTTTATGAAGAATTTGTCAATCATCTTTAAGTTTGTCATCAATTTTGTAACTTTGCTGTGTTGTATGCAAAAATAAAACTTGTGAAGAAAAACTGTCTGTCTTTCAACAGTAACTGAGCTCATAGGACAGGGATTTCGTCACATTATCGTAGTCAGCGATAGTGTATGAACTCGGTGTTGATTAAGTTCTGTTGTTATTATTATTAATCCTGCTTTATAAATGTATTGCTAAGTGCCACAATTGTTATTCTATAATCGTGTTTTATTCTTCTAACATAGGTATTGAATAAATGTAAGTATTCTGTCAAACAGTTTAATCTAGATAGACATATAGATCTGACGTGAAGTTAAAACCGAATCGCCGGAAATGGAACGTTATTCGTGTACTTAAAGCAGTTCGTCAGTACAACTCTCAAGTATTCTATTACTATAATTAACTTGCTCAAAATACATTTTTCAATGATGTGTTAAATAAAACCACAGACTTTCAGCTTGAGGACAACAGGAACTGTTACATGGCCACAAACTGTTTTGATTTTTTTTGTTATCCGAGGTTCTACACAAAGAAAAAAGTATTCTGAATCAGATGGGAGTGACGTCAGGTTTGATGCCAAATTTATTTAAACTCATTTAAAAATGTTTGTATTTTAAAATTTGCTTCGGAATTTAGTGGAAAAAATGTACAATGGCATGGTAATAAGGAATCTGCGATCACTTGCAGAAATCCACCTATATATATATGCCTATTTAAAATTTCAAAAAAAAAACTTCTATAATAATTCTGGTGAAAAAATTTGTTTTTGTAATTACTTTTTGTCGTTCCTTCTATATATTCTCTGAATTATTCAGTAGAGAAGTTGTTTTAGATACCAAAATAAACATGAAGCCCAATCTATCATAAGATTCACTCACTACGTGTCACTGATTCGATGACGAGGAACCCACTTTGAGACTAATAATGGCTGGAGACGGCTTAAATGGGTAATGAAGAAAAACTTTAATATAAGTTTAACATGACAGCAAATGTACAACGTTTCGACATCATCACCTTGTCGAAACGTTGTACATTTGCTGTCATGTTAAACTTATATTAAAGTTTTTCTT